AGGGGGATTTCCGGGGACTTTTAGTATGTTATTCTACACCTTTTTCTGAACCTATCCTGAAAAATTCAGCTTGTTTTGAAAAATGTCCGGGTTTGGCCATATTTGAGCTAAAAATCTTGGACTATATGTGCGCGTATAGTTATATAATATATATGCGTACGCATGACTTGCATTTGTTGCGTATGAATCATGGACACCAGTGGTATAACGAATCTTATCACAGCCACCTACGCACGCACTCACGAAAGCGCATGCATGCAATAGTATAAATGGGGCGGGAGAAAAATTGGGGGGAGAGGGAGTGATCAAGTGACTTAATAGGAGAGTAGAGAGAAAGAGGGGGAGAAAGAGAGAGGGAGAGAGAGAAAGCGAGAAGGAGGAAGTGCATACACTGATACAGAGAGCTTATTCGAGGGAACGATCGAGAGACCGGGAAACAGTTTAGAATATCCTGTTGCTTATTACCACTTCGTCTTCCACATGCGTCTTCCGCACACATGCGAGCACACACATATAAAACCGTGCGTCATAATACAGACATATACGCCCAAAAACACACGTACGCTCGCAAGCGCGCACGGACACACAAACACACAGACACAGACACAGACACACACACACGCACACATGCACGCTCGCACGCGTACACGCACGTACGAACGGACGCACGCACATGTGTGCCACCATGCATATACCTCGACTGTTTGAGGACGCGTGTTTTGATGTGTATATCCTATGTAATATAATTTCTAGCAGGATACGATGCGCCTCCAATGCAGACACTTAGTCACTATGTGCAGGCCATAGAAGCATGCTGCCCCGATGTAAGTACACCGACAACAATAATTGTTCAGCCGTGTTTCCAAAATATAGAATTGTACTTTCACAATTGTTCAGCGATGTTGAACCCTATGGATTTATATTGACAATTGTTCAGCCGTGTCGGCAAATATGGAATTGTGTTGACAACTATTCAGTCGTGTTGGCAAATATTTAACCGTGTTGACAAATATTTAACCGTGTTGACAAATATTCAACCGTGTCGACAAAATTAATATAGAATTGTGTTGGCAAACACTCAGCCGTGTTGGCATGTATAGAATTGTGTCAACAAGTATTCAGCCGTGTTGACAAATATAGAATTGCGTTGACAAATATTCAGCCGTGTTGACAAAATTGGAATTATATTAACAAACATTCAGCCGTGTTGACAAATAGAGAATTGTGTTAACATGCACAATTAACAAATGCACTTAGTCCACAGACGCTGTAATAACGGCGACAGTGGCGTCACCTGGCATCGTGTCTCTTGCTACCACGGCAAGAAGAGAGTGTAGCATAGACCAGGAAAGGCTACCGTAACTATCAGTGGGACAACCTAAGGGGCCACTGGCTAGATGTACACAGCAACAATGGGGAGAAAACTGACCGATAGGGGGCGACTGTGTTACTGGTCAGTTGCCGACTTGCTCCCACTGCTGTTGTTGCTGCTGCCGTTCGTACAAACGTGCAGGGCGGACGATACTACACCTATAGGTTAGCTCATGCTACGATTGTGGCTCGTTGACCGTTGTTGTTGTTGTTGTTGTTGTTGTTGTTGTTGTTGTTGTTGTTGTTGTTGTTGTTGTTGTTGTTGTTGTTGTTGTTGCTGCTGGTGTTGCTAATGCTACGATACCCTAGCTGCCTGTTGTTGTTGGTGCTGTTGTTGTTCTTGTTGTTGTTATTGTTGTTGCTGCTGCTAGCGCTGCTAGCGCTGCTGGTGTTGCTGTTTCCACTTCTGTTAATGTTGTTGTTGTTGTTGTTGTTGTTGTTGTTGTTGTTGTTGTTGTTATTGTTGCTGTTAATGTTGTTATTGTTTCTGTTTTTGTTTGTTATTATTGGTGGTGTTGTAATAGTTGTCGCTTCTATTATTGTAAACGTTATTATATGGTTAGGGTTAGGGTTATATATATATATATATATCAAGAGTGGATAATAGAGATTATAGATCTCTATTATCCACTCTTGATATATATAAATATACGTTATTATATATATTATGGTAAACGTTATTTGCTGCTGAAAATGTAAATATTGTCAGGCGAAAGAGAACGCACGCACGCACGCACGCACGCACGCACGCACAGCGCGATATAATCATATATGATGTCTTGCTCTATTTTAGTGGCATACTTCTGCGGCACTGTCAACATTTCTTGTCGATTAGGAGAAATTCTCTCCATAATAGAAGCCAACCATCCAAACTCGAAGGAGGCTGGGTATGTAGCAAGTATATAGAGGAGGGGAGACTGGGTATGTAGCAA